GAAAACTATTTGAAAGGATAAAGCCCTTGAAGAGACATGTCACTTTTGGCAAAGAGAGGCAAGAGGAGACTCGCTCTGGCAACCATTCCAAGATGAGCGTCAGCAAGAACCCGCAGGGAGCCATTGGAGGGAGACCAGCCCCACAGCCTGGATGTCACTGGGACCAAGCAAGTAGAAAGCTGTGTAGCTGAAGGCGGCTTTGGGAAACCGGTTAGAACAAAACACTCAATGGAAACCCAGCGAATTCTATCTCATACTCTGTACACAGGACCAAAATTAATTCATGGAGTCAAAGGAAATCAAAGCCAAAAACATTACCTGATAACTCTGAAAGCACAAAGATCAAGAACAAAGGTTCCACAGGCCCGAGCAACTAGATCTGGACTTGCTGTGCAATAAAGGACACCACTACCACATCACGACTCAGCTACACCCCGCCATGTCAGACCCTGCACAGCGGCTGAGGACACCACGACCACATCACGACTCAGCTACACCCCGACATGTCAGACTCTGCAGAGCAGCTGAGGACACCCACAGTCAGAGTCACAAAGACTCAGCTACACCCTGCCATGTCAGACTCAGCACAGCGGCTGAGGACACCACGACCACATCACGACTCAGCTACACCCCGCCATGTCAGACTCAGCACAGCGGCTGAGGACACACACAGAGTCACAAAGACTCAGCTACACCCCGACATGTCAGACTCTGCAGAGCAGCTGAGGACACACACAGAGTCACAAAGACTCAGCTACACCCCGACATGTCAGACTCAGCACAGCGGCTGAGGACACCCACAGTCAGAGTCACAAAGACTCGGCTACACCCCGACATGTCAGACTCTGCAGAGCAGCTGAGGACACACACAGAGTCACAAAGACTCAGCTACACCCCGACATGTCAGACTCTGCACAGTGGCTGAGGATACACACAGCGCGAAAGCAAAGTTCAAGTGTCAAGAACTCGCAGAGGGTGTGTTCAACCACAACGACTAAAGACAAAGCGGTAGGGGACACAACTCTAAGCACTCAGGAGTCAAGAGTACTCACTGCTCTTGCAGAAGACCTAAGTTTGATTCTCAGCACCCATATCTAATAGCTTAAAACCACCTACAATCCAGCTCCAGAGGATCCAATGCCCTCTTCTGGGCTCATGGGTGCTTATACTCAAAATGCACATACACACAACACATATATAACAATGACAAATAAAATATAAGCCAGAAGGTGGTGGCGCACGCCTTAAATCCCAGCACTCAGGAGGCAGAGGCAAGAGGATCTCTGTGAGTTCAAACGCCAGCATGATCTACAGAGTGAGTTCCAGGACAGGCTCCAAAGTTACACAGAGAAACTCGGTCTCAAAAAAAAAAAAAACACCAATAGATAGATAGATGATAGATAGATAGATGGGTAGATAGGTAGGTAGGTAGATAGATTTAAAAAATGATAGACAGGGGCTGGAAAGATGGCGCAGTGGTTAAGAGCACTGACTGCTCTTCCAGAGGACCCGGGTTCAATTCCCAGCACCCACATGGCAGTTCACAACGGTCTGAAGATCCAGTTGCAGGGGATCTGACACCTTCACACCAATGCACATAAAATAAAGTTAAATAAACTATAAAAAAATTAAAAAAAGATAGACAGATTAGATAGATAGACAGACAGACATCTAATAGATAGATAGATTAAAAAAAATAGTTGTTGGTGGTGGTGGTGCACATCTTCAATCCCAGCACTCGGGAGACAGAAGCAAGCAAATCTCTGTGAGTTTGAGGTCAGCCTGGTCTACAAGAGCTAGTTCCAGGACAGGCTCCAAAGCTACAAAGAAACTCTGTCTTGAAAAACCACAAATAATAACAACAACAACAACAACAATAATTACATAGATAGATAGATGGATGGGTGGATGGATGGATGGATGGATGGACAGATGGATGGATAGGTAAAATATAGCTTTAACACACATACACACTCACTCTACACCCATCTCCTTGGCAACTGTTAAATGCAGCCAACAGCCCCAGGCACTGAGGAGCTATAAGACTGCAGGTTGGTGTGAACCATGTCAAGATATTGTCAGCATCCAAAGTGTGTGGGACAACAAGGAGGATCATACCACAGAGCGTACATCCATCAACCACAGGAAGGAGCCCTTCCCCCGAAAAACCACACAGGATACTGGAGAAGGCCAAAGTAGGGGAAACGAGGGCTAAAGAGGCAAAGTGCAGAAGGTACAAAGGCAGGGAACGACCCCAGGAGACTCGCTCCCTAATGTTAAGTGAGGTCTTTATCATAATCTGTGTCCAAACCCAGAGCAAACCTGAGTGAAAGCCATGGGCCTGGATGGTGGGGATATGCCCTGTCAGCCTGTCCACTTCATGGGACAGCCTGTCTCCACATTAATACTAACAACAGTATAACAGCAGCCCTGCAGTGTCTTAGCACCACTGGGAAAGGGAGCATAGTAGGAACAGGGCTACTCTGGAGAGAGTGTGGACACTGTCTATACCCGTGTCCCAGACTGGGTCCAGGGTCTGGGTCTGAGGACCAGGAAGCTGCCTTGCTAATGATATCCCAGGCAGGAAACTCATATCAAGTCAAGTTTGGTAGCACTTGATGGATGAAACAGGAACATCATAAGTTCAAGGCCACCCTGCCTATATGTTCAAGAGCCATCTCAAAAAGGAAAAACAAAGGCATTAAGGAGAAGACTTAGTGGTTATGGCACTTGCTCAGCAAGCATGATGGGATCTCAGGTCCCCAGGACCCACATAAAATGCCAGGTGTGACACATTTTTAATCCCAGCACTCAGGAGGCAGAGGCAGGCGGATCTCTGAGTTCAAGACCAGCCTGATCTACAGAATGAGTTTTAGGATAGCCAAGGCTTCACGGAGAAACCCTGTCTTTAACCAGGGGGTGGAGGGGTGTCACCAGTGGGGTACGACAGCCCAACTATAATTCCAGTCTCCAGTGGCAGAGCCAGGGATCCCCAGAGCAATCTAGGTAGACTGAGAAACCCTGACTCAATGAATCAGGTGGCAAATTGATCAACATTGACTCCAGACATCGACTCAGGCTTTCACAAGCCTGCTTAGTCATACCACACCCATACCATGCACACTTATGCCTATGTACTTACAAAACATGCATTCATACATGTGCACACATGAAAAAATAGCTGGGTGTTGGCATATACCATAAATCCCAGGTTTCAGGAGGCAGAGATAGGGATAGCTCTCTGAGTGAAGTGACCAGCTTGATCAACATGGCAAGTTCATACCAACCAGGGCTGCATAGTGAGACCTTGTCCTTAAAACACAATAATTCTAGCTGGGTGGTGGTAGCACACACCTTTAATCCCAATACTCAGAAGACAGATCTCTGTGCATTCAAGGCCAGCCTGATCTACAGACCAAGTTCCAGGACAGCCAAGGCTACATAGGGAAACCCTGTCATTAAAAAAACAAAACAAAAAGAAAAATAAATAATCCTGTCTCTAAAACAGCTGCCTTCCTTTAAGAAGCCAAACACAAGGCTCCAGGCCATAGCCACCTCATAGCCTGGTTCAGAGACAACTTCAGGCAATATATTGGCCAGAGAAAGACCCTCTCTAGCCTTTGTGCAAGAAACCACAGGTCTTGAGAATGAAGTCCTGCTTGGCTGGACTCTGGAAGACTGGGTCCTTCTTAGGACCAAGCTTGTGAGGGAGCCGAGCTGACAGTCCAGGAATGTTTCTAAGGAAATCTTCAATGGAGTTTTACTCATATAGGGTACTCTTGGGTCGCCCAGAGGACCTAAGGACAAGCAAATGCCACACCTGGAACCAGAAAATGTGTGCAGATGGGAACACTCGTGGCTCTCCACTTTCCAAGAAGTCAGTGGAAGCTTCTGTCTAAGCTACGGAGTTTTAAATATGAGCCAAACAGAAAACTACACCAGCTCTGAGAGCAGGAACACAGTGTCCTCCTGCTGGACAGGGTCATCAGCCAATGCAGGAAAGACAGAGGGACTGGACACTGACATGGCATGGACCTTCACCCCACACATGGTGCAAAGGTAGTCTCTGGTGTGAGCGCCACCGCAGGCTGGGAAAAGGTGCTCACAAGGCCACATCCTAGCCCATCAACTGCCCATAGAGAATGATTCAGAAGTATTCCTCCATTCCGTGAGTGGTAACAGGAATAATTCATTACCAGGATGGTCTGATAAAGAGAATCAGAGACAAATGGAGTGAAGGTGACAGCAACAGCTGCAGCTCAAAGATGGAAACAGAATTAAGATAAAGCGCTCCGCCAGGCATGGTGGTGCACCTTCAATTCCCTCTGTTCAAGTCCAGCCTGGACTACACAGAAAGACCCTGTCTCAAAAAAAAAAAAAACAAAAACAGGAAAAAACGATAAAGAACTGTTTTTGCCAAACTAGTTAAATGGCTGTGTGCTGCAATGAGCTCTTCCTCAAGAAAGCCCACCATACAGGAAGTAGGACTGCACACGTGGTTCTAGACCAGGGACCACCGAGCGGGCCGTTTCCTGAGGGCTCCCCACTAAGAGGAGCAGCAGTCAGCAGCACTTCCCGTGCCAAACTCCACGGAAGTGCAAACTTTCCATGAAGTATGGGTATCCCTTTCTTACACAACCCACTCCTACCTAACACAGTCTCCGTCTATGCCTCAAACCTGCTGACCAGCAACAGGAAGACGCCAGGAAATATGCCAGGCCTGGGACAACCAACGCTCAATGCCACTTTCGCCTTATCCAAGCCTCCCAACCAGAAGGTGGGTTGCTGCTGTTCTCAGTCGCCCTTTGGAACCTTCTGGGTGGCACAAACATGCTGGTGCTGATATGGGCAGGTTCACAGCTCCACACACTTAGATGGGAAGCCCAGACAGAATAGCCCTGTTCCCAGGAGATGCCTGCAAACCTATGGCCACCATAGCCAGAATAGCCAGCATTCAGTTTTGGTCGGGAGAAAGCCCTGGGGCTCAGTCTACTTCTTACCGGTTCTGGCTCCTGCTGAGGCTCCTCACCAGGCTTTGACTTCTTGGGCTTGGAAGGGCCCCCAGGGCCAGAGAAAGACTTGGGTGACTTGGTAGATGATGTCAGAGGTCGAAGGGACCCAGAAGGGCCTCCCAGCCGCTGACCCCCACCAGAAAAGGGAACAAATGGGGCGGACGCAGACTCCTTTGTGCTCTGCTTGGCCCAAGCATCAGCTGGCTTTGAGCCGCTCCCAAGGCTGCTCCCTGAGGTACTGGCATCACCCTGATGGTTCAGGTCTCCCCTGCTGAACTCCCCAGAGTTCAAAGGAAGCAAGGGGCTGCTAGATGCCTGGTCAGCTGACATGGAGGAGGTTGGACTTCCTGGGGGCTTGCTCCTGACTGCAATGGGCTCCTGTTTGCCCGTGGTGTCACACTGCTTTATGACAAACCTGGGGGAAGCAAAAAAGTGAGTCTAACACCATAGAGTGGTCCGTCCCTCTTTCAGGGTCCCTTCTGAAATCCACTTCTCTCTCCAGAGGAGAAAAGAGAAAAAGGCTGGAAGGAGTGGTCCCTGAAGGCAGCTGTGGGCACTGAGTGCCAAGAAGGCAGCACTGCCCACACTCCTAACCCCAGACACATTTCTCCTCATTTCCCATATTCCCACCCTCCAGGATCTCCACCTCGGCCTCTGAAGGGCTGGGATTACAGGTACGGGCCACACCTAGCTTCCTTTCCCCAAGCCTAGAGACTCCGATGCCCCTACCTGATAGTGGCACTGCCGCCCGTGAGGCCCAGGGACTGAAGCGTCGTGCTCTGCAGGGCAGCTCTACCGGTCACCTGCAGAAAACAAAGGACACACAGGCCCCCGGATGGATCCTTCCCTACTGAGCCCTGGTTGGTCAAATCCCCCAGGGCAAATCCCCAAGGTCTGTCAGCAGTGGGTCTGAAGCTGGTGAGGACCCGCTGACCGTCTGTCTCCTCGGCTGTGCACTGTGCCCACTGTGTCTAGAGAAAGCAGACTGAGTGAGGATGTCCAGCAACCCAGAATCCCATGCTCAGGGACAGGAGACTGAAGACTCACAGATTGCAGGCCCCATACACACAAGCAACCCCTGAGCTCCAGGTTCCACAGCCGCCACTGGCCAGCATTCCACTGCCCCCACCTTTGTAAATCCTTAAGTCTGTCGTAGCCCCAGGCCACCAAACTCCAATCGGCATCATGGCCCTCGACAACAATGGGCATCATGACCCTACACAACAATGGGCATCATGACCCTACACAACAATGGGCATCACGACCCTAGACAACAATGGGCATCATGGCCCTCGACAACAATGGGCATCACAACCCTAGACAACAATGGGCATCATGGCCCTCGACAACAATGGGCATCACGACCCTACACAACAATGGGCATCATGGCCCTCGACAACAATGGGCATCATGACCCTCGACAACAATGGGCATCACGACCCTAAACAATGGGCATCATGACCCTACACAACAATGGGCATCACGACCCTCGACAACAATGGGCATCACGACCCTACACAACAATGGGCATCACGACCCTACACAACAATGGGCATCATGACCCTCGACAACAATGGGCATCACAACCCTACACATCAATGGGCATCATGACCCTCGACAACAATGGGCATCACGACCCTCGACAACAATGGGCATCACGACCCTCGACAACAATGGGCATCACGACCCTAGACAACAATGGGCATCACAACCCTCGACAACAATGGGAATCACGACCCTCGACAACAATGGGCATCACGGCCCTCGACAACAATGGGCATCATGACCCTACACAACAATGGACATCACGACCCTTGACAACAATGGGCATCATGGCCCTCGACAACAATGGGCATCACGACCCTA